GGTGCCATCAAGTTGGTTCCACCTCATAGTGACCCTGTGTACAACAGAATGAGACACTGCCTGTTCGTACGCCATCTTCACAGTCATTGTTACGCTTGAGCCCATTGTTGCCACCACTGTGTGAATCCATCTCATTGAAGATTTTCTTCTTTTTCACTGACCCTCTACTTTTCCAAGCATGATGTCATTCTCCAGAGATTGATCCCTCCTGATAACATGTCCAAAGTATGTGAGATGAAGTCTTGCCATCCTCGCTTCTAAGGAGCATTCTGGCTGTACTTCTTCCAAGACACATTTGTTTGTTCTTTCGGCAGTCCATGGTATATTCAGTATTCTTTGCCAGCACCATAATTCAAAGGCATCAATTCTTTGGTCTTCCTTATTCATTGTCCAGCTTTCCCGTCCTTATGAGGCATTGAAAATACCATGGCTTGGGTCAGGTGCACCTTAGTCCTTAAAGTGACATCTTTGCTTTTTAACACTTTACAGGTCTTTTGCAGCAGATTTGCCCAGTGCAATGGGTCATTTGATTTCTTGGTAGAGAATAGATAAAGGAAGGAAAAGCTTCAACTTTGCATCTCTCCTCTGATCTTTCTGTCTCCCTAAAGCAAACAAAACGAAAAAAACCAAGCCCATTGCCTTTCAGTTGATTCCAATTCATGGTGAAGAACTGCTCCATAGGGTTTTCTTAGCTCTAATCTTTACATGAGCAGTTCCCCAGGCCTTCTTCTGTGGCACTGCTGGATGGGTATAACTGCCAACCTTTAGGTTAGTTGTCAAATGCAAGGCATTTGTACCACCCAGGGACCTTTCTCCTTAGCCTCACTTCAACATTATGCAGTAGTCAGAAGGCCTAAGGAAAAGATAGCGAAAACTGTCTTATTGCCGCTCTATTCTGAATCCCCAATTCCATTCCTTGCTTTCCAAAGCTTCTTTCTAAGCTCTTTTGATCACCCTCTCCAGCCATCTGCTTGCTTCTTTACCAGAAAATCTTAGTCTGAATCCCCTTGGCCTGCCTGTCCAGCTGCTGGGTCTTACCACCAGTGGCTTAGAGTTCACATAGGCCTCATTCCTGTTTGTAACAGGGAAAGATGTGATCCTTGCATTCCAACTTGCCATTCTAATTTAATTTTTTCAATAAAACAGTTATGATGGTTATATAGAGGGTCAGTGAAAAAGAGGAAGACCTTCAGTGAAATGGATTGACACAGTGGCAACAACATTGGACTCAAGCATAACGACGATTGTGAGAATGGTGCGGGCGGGATCCGGCAGTGTTTCGTTCTGTTGTACATAGGGTCACTATAAGTGGGAACCAACTTGACGGTGCCTAACAACAACAACAACATGATGGTTATGAGGCATACCCATCTCCATTGAGTTGACTCCGACTCATAGCAACCCCATAGGATAGACTAGAACTACCCCATAGGGTTTCCAAGGCTATAAATCTTTACGGAAGCAGGCTACCATGTCTTTCTCCTGTGGAGCAGCTGATAGGTTCAAACCTCCAACTTTCCAGTTAGCAGCTTAACCACTATGCCACCACGGCTCCTTTATGAGTTATAAGTTCTTTAATACTGTATATTCCTCAGGAGCATTATGAGATTTATTAGGGCTTCATGGACAAAACTGGGAATCCAGCCATTCGCAGTCTCATTTTGGTAGAAAACTGTCTTGAGTTC